TACATTCATCGCAGTCATTCGATGAGTTATAAGCTCATCGCAAGCAACTGATAAATTGCGAACTCATTGCAGGTGCCCATGTGGTATCAATTCGGTGTCCTCCATAATTTTATGCTCTGAGCGATCCCTAATGCATGACGAGCTACGTAAGATTTAGCAGGATGAGGAGACTCACAATCATGCCACATAGATATGCATTTAACGGCTGACACAGAGTTAGTAGCACGCATTTATGATTTAGTGTGACTGCACCAAGGCGACGTCTATTATATGTGTAAGCCAAGGTGGCTGATACATTAGAGTAAGCAATTCAATAAGGGACTAGGTACACCAGGGACTCTAGAGAGGGTTAGGTGTAATGAGGACATTCACCAACCCTCCCCTCCACCATGTACAAGCAAACAAACAAGTAGGGAGCGACGGGGACCACTATAAATACACCCCTTAGAAGTCATTAAAGGCATCAAGAATGGAGTAATTGAAGGGTATTAAGGAGGGAAGAGTAAATACTTTGGTGATCCCATCCTGAAAGGTCCCTTCCAATAAAACTAGGCCAAGCCCGGTCTCACACTCAAGGTGATCACAACCATCATTCCCCTTGTAGGCGGGCCAGGTCAAGTTATCTTCGTTTACATTGGTCCCAACTGACCTTTCAAATCCTGGCACTAACCAAGATTAGGATCTGACCTCCACAAACTTATCATTATAATTTTAATTTTGCAAATATTAATTTTTAAATTACTTATTATACACATTCAATTATTAAAATGAAAACATATGATCAAATCACTTAAGTAACTCAATGGTCAAGTAAGATCGTAACCTTTGTAACCATAAGTGTTTGGTCTTAAATATTTGCATCCTCAAAAGTGTTTTGGAATTTATTTCAAGACAAGTTCAGTTCCACCAAGGCTAGTTCATCGGGTCGGTTCAGGAAAGGCAAATCCTTAGACTCTAGAACCGGCCAAGGGTGGAGATCGATTCTAAGAATTTGGAACCAGACCCTATCATGTAACAAATTAGATAAAGTTGGTTCCATTCAATTCCATAAATAACTTACCCATTTATTCACCCCTAATTGGTATATTGGATGATTTGTCCCAGCAATGATCTTCAAGTCCTACTACAACCGTCTTTGAAAGAAAAAGAGTTGTGTATAAATACCAAAATGGTTAATGATGTGATATTGTATTGTTAAAAAAAAAAAAAAAAAAACTAATTGCCCTTATGGGAGATTTTCAGGCATTGATTAATACCAAAAAAAAATTTATTTGTTAGAAATTAGTAATTTAATTAAGGAAAAGTACTTAGTTCTGTCACGCAAAAGTGCAAAATCTGTCCTTATCACATTTATCACATTCGGTGTCAGTAACCATAAGTACACATTAGGGACATCGAAATGTTTTCAATACACGGCTATAGCGTCTTGTGGGTTCGTGGGTAGCAGATCTGAGCTCATTTTATTCATCTTCTATAATTAACCATGTACTTATTCTCTATTCTTAATCGATACAATAAGTAGATTAAATATTTTAGTGCAATAATGAGAATCATTTCAAAAACATCTTTGGCATTTGGCACTAGACCTGTTCATGGGCCGGGCCGGGCCGGGCTTTGACTCTTTATTAATAGAAAAATGTTAGGCCCGAGCCCAGCCCGGATAAAAGCTCGAAGCCCGACCTAATAAAAGAAATTCAAATTTTTCCCTATTCAAATGGACATTTTCTATTTTAATTTAGATGTTTTTTCCCCTATTTAAATGAACAATGGACCTACAAGTGAATCAACAACATTCTCAAATCAAAAAATTTATTCAAATGGACATCACATAGTGTTTTTACTTAGGTTTAACTATAGGTCGGGCCGGGCCGGGCTATTTTGGCAAAGCCCGAGCCCGGCTCGAATTTTATGCGGGTCGGGCTTTTTGGCCTGAGGTTAAACCCGTGGACCAAAAAGCCTGTTCAAGCCCGTCTGGGGGTCGGGTCGGGCCGGGCTAGCCCATCGGGCCACCCGGCCCATGAACAGGTTTATTTGGCACAATGAATATAAAGAATTCAGTCTAAAGCTAATGCCATGGACACCATATATGAAAAAAAAAGAAAATCTTTTTTAATATAAATATATATAAAGTAAATTGGTCCATGTCATCATGTCTCTCTTTTCTCCAAACCCCCGTTCTTGCTTTCTTTTTTACTTTCTCTTATTTCCCCTTCCCACCACTCTCATTATGTCAAGTCAGTAAGCTCTTTTTATTTATTTCCCAATCCAATTACCTAAAAATATTCTTAGAGTTTCTCTTCTAAGATATCTACTCTAGTCACAAATCATATTACTCTATTCCCCAATCCCCAATCAATTCCTAAAATCTCTCACCTAAAATATAATATCTATATCTATCATTTTTCACTAAAACACTCGCTTTATTTTGATTGGTGCATGTCTCACCAAGTCTTTTCCCAACAAGATTGTCCCACAACACATCCCCACCCTCTTCCAATGATAATACCAGAAATGATAATGTCATCATCATGAGATGCCCCCAATACAGAAAGGAGATGTGCTGTGGGACGTTGTGGGAGGCTGATTTGATCTCAATAAAGAAGGGCTACAAAACAAATCCAGCAATATCGGTACATTTTGTATGTCATCTTTTGCCTGCATAGAATGAGGAAAGCTTCAGATCGAACTGTACTTGGGAATCTGACAAAAGTTGGTACCTCTCATAGAAACTTTTTAAATAACCAGATTACAAAATTTTTTGCCATAGGTTTTACTTTGAATTTAAAATTCTATTTAGAAAACTATTACAGTATATAAAATTAATATTGTTTAATTCTGTCAAGTTTTTGAAGGTCATGTGTTCTTGTCAGTTGTTTCTTTTCGTGTCTTTATTTTCTTTTATGTTTGGCTTGTCATGCTAACTAGCTATTTGGCTGGTTTGGTTTGGATGTCTATGACTGATGGTTCGAGGAGCCTGTGCATGGAAATGTCCAAAGTTGTTTTAGTTCAAAATCATCTGGAAGAAATATGTCATGAAAATTAAAATACATGCATTTAAAGTGTAGTTGACCCCATGACCCCATTTTGGGAAGGTATAGGGGGTGTTTGGTACAGTGGTGTTTTGTTGTTTTGCATTTTGGACTGATCTGTACAAATTTGTGTGAGAGAGAATTTTTTACCTGAAACATTTTGAAAACTTTTTAAGTTGGTTAATACAAATTGCTATTTTTATTTGAAACGCCAAATTTTGATGTTTCTTATGCATATGCATTTGTCAAATTTAAATAAAACTCATATATAATGTGGCAAACTGGCAATGCATATTTCTCACAAATTTATATTTGATCAACCCAAAATGCAATCAAAAGGCAATGCCACTGTACCAAACACCCCCTTAGATGATGAGGAGGAGGAGGATATATATCAACAGTACACGTAATTAAATTTATTCCCAACAGAACGCCTTTTGTTGAAAATAGAGGCTCAGTTTGGAAATAGTATAAATACAAATATGAACCGTATAAATACATACAAAAATAATATAAAATATAAGGTTTTGTATTCTACATATTTGCATTTATACTTCTTCCAAACTGAGCTTTAATATTCTTACCAAAACCCACTCGAATCTTTAGCTCGTATCTTTGATAAATTTAAATTTTTCTGGGTGACAACTCTTATTTTTCTTGACCTGCGTGTGGAATTCGGGAGCAGCGCATGAATGGATTTGAACATTTCAATAGAAATTAATGAAATGATAGTCAGCTTAGGAAGAATTTGAATTCCACCATAGCGGGGAATTGGTGGAGTTTTCTTTTTGTTTTTGGGGAATATGATGGTTTTAGAAACTAACCTTACGTCTGCTATCTAGCTCCCACCGTTTGTAACGTTTCCACCATCCATGATGAAGATTGAAGAATATTTTAGAGTTACAGAGTTTCCAGATATGCAACAAGGTTTCCTTGGACACTTGTTCATACTTCTTGGGGAAGGGAATCTTAGAACTGTTCACACGTTTTCCTCCACCTTACTAAAAAATTGAAAAAAAAAAAGAATGAAATTAAAATTAAAAATCAACAAATTATGGGGGTGTTTGGTGTACAATGGCATTGCATTTATTGTATTTTGAATTGATCCATACAAATCTGTGCCAAATATGTATTGTCATATCATATATGAGCAATGTTTTAAAAAACGACCCAGAACCGCTTTGACCACTAGTTGGGCTAGCAGTTCGACTAGTTGGTTCGAATGGATGGCCCGTTGGAATTTAAAAAATAAAAAATAATTAAAATAATAAAAGGCCAAAAACTATTGCCTTGGTCTATAGTTTTTGACTAACGAGACAGCAAATTGCTGACCAAATCAATGGTTTCTAGCAAAGAAATAATTCGGGTAAAACAAAACCGGTTCTACCTTCAGATCAAACACGGTTCCAAAACCATGTATATGAATGTCATTTTACCTGAAAAAATGCATCTGTAGGAAACATCAAATTTGACGTTTAAGGCAAGGTTTTTAAAACCGACCCAAAGAATGAACCGGTCAGAGGTTCGGTTCCCGGGTCGAACGGTCTGAACCGAATGGTCGGCCCATTCAGACAAAAAATAAAAAATTAAAAAAAATCAAAAATGGGCAAAAACGTTTGAATGGTTTGAATGGTTAACCGCTCGTATCAGCGCTTTGCTGACCAAAATCAACGGTTTTTGGAGAGAATCCGGCTTTGGAGAAAACCAAAAACTGATCAGGTGACTGATAGGTGACAGCTTTTTCCGGTCCGACCGTCCGGTCCTGTCCGGTTTTAAAAACCATGGTTTAAGGTAAAAAGATCAATTTATATTAATCAATCCAAAAAAAACTCCCAATAGAACACAAAACTACAGTACCAAACACCCCCTAAGAGGGCAGTTGAATGTATGAATACAGCTTTCTGTAAATCCCAGACGATGCCCGGCAATAGAAAATTAGAAATCGTGGGATTCAGATCCCATTCCTCCACAATTCAAACCATGGCTCAGAGTCAGAGTAATGTCGATCGTTTTTCCTTCCTCCCGGAAGAAATACTGATTTTCATAGTCAGTCTGCTGCCGCTGAGAGAGGCCGTGAGGACGAGCGTTTTGTCCAAACGCTGGTACAAGCTTTGGACGTACTGTACGTCCATCGAATTCGACGAGACGAACTTCACTGGGACCATACACGACGATCAGCAGTTACAGGATTCAGGGCAAAGCGCTGGAACCCTGCGTCAGATGAAGAAAGTACGAAGTGACATCGTCGTGGAGTCTGTCCACCATACGCTACAATGCCTGCAGAGCCCAAAGATCTCCAGGCTAGACGTCCGATTTGGTTACAGAACCAGGTATTGTGACTTCGTAAACGAGTGGATCAGCCTCTGCCTGCGAAAGAACATCGAGGAGCTCCACTTTGACTTCTCGGTTGGAGCTTTCCACCGGTTTGACTTCGATCCTTTCAACGAAGGACTCTTCTGTCTGCGTGATTCCGTCCATGCAACGGGTTCCAAATCTCTGTGGGTGTTGAGCTTGAGCTTCTGCAATCTGGGTTCCCCCAGTTTCCATGGATTTCCTGCTCTAAAGAAGGTATCACTCGCGCGACTCGGATTACGGAAGGAAGTGGTCGAGAATCTGGTAGACAACTGTCTGCTTCTTAAAACTTTGAGTCTTGTGGAGTGCCGATATTTGGATCACATCAAAATTTCTCACCCACGCTTGCGGCTTAGAAGGCTGATTGTGAGAGACTGTCAACCACTCACCAAGGGGATAGATCTCTATGCTCCTTGCCTTCAGTATTTCGAATACTTTGGGCCTGTGGTGTTCTTCCAACTGTACAGGCTAACAAGCCTGGTCGAGGCTGTGTTGGATTTTGGGCTCCAGAGGGGATTTCATAGCGTCTCTATGAAGCTAAGCAATCTTCTTCTTGTCGATCTCTACCGAGCTAAGTCTCTGACAGTGTGCGGTTATCTTCTCAGGGTATATAAATATATATCTTGTCTGTTAGTCTGTATATATGTATGGCTCCTATTCCTTTTGCAGATTATGAATGTATTCATTTTCATTCATGCATGTTTTGGTATATATGTAGATTCTGCCCGCAGAGGATGCGACGTCGTTCCACCAACTTCGCCGGCCACTCCCCCATCTTAAGAACTTAACGATGGTGACAACATTAGACAAGTATGAACTAATCGGAGCATTTTCCCTGCTATGAAGTTTGCCAAAGCTTGAAACTTTGAAGATCACGACGCGTTTCAGCTGGTTTACTGCAGTGAGTAGAACACCAGAACCTGACTGTTGCTAGTTTTTGTTAGTTAATTTCCTCTTAAATCCATTTGATTCATATTTCAGCTAGTCAATTATACACAAGCTAAGGTGTGTTTGACGTTTGAGGAATTAGAGAAAAATTCTTGTTTCAGGACCTTGAATTGGAGCCATCAGTGAGCCCTTTCAGGCACCTCAAGGTGGTTGAGGTTGAGAACTTTCAGGGAAGTACCAATGAGATAAAGCTACTAAAATTCCTGCTGCAAAATGCATGGGTGTTGCAGAAAATGGCGGTAATACCACACCAATATTTTATGGTGGGAACTGGGCAAGGAGATAGATCTATAATCTCAGGTGTGGTTGATGAACTTAGACGTTGTGACTGTGCATCACCACATGTAATGATATCCTACCGGCTCATCACCTTCTCATCAGTAGCAATCACCATTAATATGGCTAGCTCTCTGTCCTCTGCTTTTAATTTCTTTTGCTGGGTTTCTTTCTGATCGGTTCTTAACCGACTCAACAACAGGCCACAGCTTTTGAAATAATAAGTATCCATTCGTACTCATGCTGTCCGAGCATTCTTCTTTTCTTGCTTTCAGAATTTACCAGGAGATGACGAGGGGATGCAAACTAAATAGGTCCAATTATCTAGGTATAACAACTAACAAGTACCAAATAAAATAGCTATCAAAATTTAAACTCCAGGTCATCTATCTTTTTGGCTCTTTGCTATAAAGAGTTGATATATACCTGGATTGAGGTGACATAATCCAAACATGTTTTGATTAATTCAAACGCAAAAGATATATATATATATATATATATATATATATATATTACTGAAATTCGATTCTAAAAAAAATAACCACAAATCTAAAATTTCAGTTTCAGTTATCTCGATTTTTTTATATTTTGGCTTTTGTTCGATTTTTCATTTTTTTAATTCGGTTTTTAAAATTTCAGCTAATTCAATTCGATTTTTAATTGAGTGCTCGGTCCTAGTATTTATTAAGAATATATTAGATAATACATAATACTTTTTGTTTTTAAGAAATTTTAAAATAATAGTCTGACTAAAATACCAAAAAAGATGTCATAATTAAATACCTAATAACCAATAACCAGTTATAATCCAAATCGTAACCAATCAACCAGTATTCTTTCGAATTCATGTGGGTTTCTGACTGGTAAAGTTTTTCAGGCATCATAGATTCCTATAGAATTTACCCTTTTTAAACCCCAAATCGCTCCAACTATTTTAGTCGATACTTCTTTTCTTTTTTTCTTTTTTATTCTTCTGTTTTATCACAACTTATAAAGCCACCCCCAACATGTTTTTTTCTCTCCTGAGAAAATTTGGGTTAAGCCCTGATCCAGTTACTCTGGTGGTCTGGCCTGATTCAGGTTGCAACAGGCCAAGGTAATATGAAAATCTGCTTGTCTGAAGAGGTTCCAGCGAGAACTTATCTACATAGTTCCAAGGCCGAGCTATCCGGAGTTCTCACCACTGGATGACCATCAGTGTCTCTCTTTCCTTATTCTACATCATCTTCACTATCTACTTTTGAAGAATCAATCACTCTTCAATAGCTCCAGGCCTCATTGGCACTGGGCTCAACTCCAATATTCGGCAACTGCGGTCAACAACATGAGCGTATCCGCAGTTTCCTATTACTTTGTTCACTCCAAACGATGGGTGGGGCTGAGCTGGGATCTTCTGCCAACATGTTCCAAAACCCTACCAACAAGATCTAACACCATACATCTCACCATAAAACTGGGACCCGCCATTTATGAGATGTGAGGTGTCAGATCATGTTGGTAGGGTGTTGAAAAGTATTTCATTGGCAGGTGATCCGGACTCGATGGGGACTAGGGGAGTCCAAATCTGCTCCTCGTCCAAATCTGCTCCTCACACCAACTTCACAGCATATCCCAGCCGCACATCAGGAACATATCTCATACTTGAATGCAGATCCCATTGCACGGTGATATGTTCTGTGAGATCGATGTGAGGAGAGCTCTGAACCTCTGAGGTAGCTAGAGATTGGGAACGATATCCCAGGTAAGGTGATCATTTTTCTCAAATCGGCCCAGAAATTCCAGAATTGAGCCTAGATTTTATGCTCAGGTCCAACCTAGGCCCAGCCCCCCCGCATCAGGCCTGTCCACCACATACGTATATTCTTATTATACAAGTTACTTTATTTTATATATAAATGCCATAATATGACACCTGTAATACATATTATACATAATATTTTATATTTATAATCTATAAAAGAATATTTTATATTATGGATATTTAACACTTTATACACAGCCAGAGGCCCGGGCTAAAATAAACAAGTGACTGAACCTGTTCCTGAGAGAAGAAATAAAAAAGTGAACAAGGGCAAAAATAATACAAGTAATTGAACCTATTAAGCAGAATCTTGAACATGTCAACTTAGCTGTAAAATATGGCACAGGAAGATTAACTCATCACTCCAAAAACTGAAAGGAAAATCAAAATCCAATAGAGATATACACTAGCCAAATAACTCTTTCCAATGATTAGGCCTCGTTAAAGTATCCATTTGCATTCTGGATGTGCGAGCAAAGATGAAAGAAAACACCTTGTGCTTTAGAATGAACAATGTCGTCCTATTCAATATATTCGGCATTTATAAAACACCCTTGTAGTTTCAGAACTCCAAACACAAGATGGATAAATTTGCACATTCTACTGTTGGCACCACTATCTAGTAGCTGTAACCAAAAAACTCGAAACAGTTGAATTTGATTGTGGATGACTCGGGAACAGATAATGCCTTCATATATGCAAGTGGAGCACCATCGGATCTTTAACATACAAAAGGACAAATTCAGTGGGTCAGCTCATCGGTTCCACAGGCCAGATCTACACCCATTACTCAGCTGAGTTCTCATGCAACATTACATATTCTCGGCTGCAAACCAAGAAGAAAAACAATGTCATACTAAGGTCGAAACAGAAGTAAATGATCTGTACATGGCTACATGCAGGGACAAAAACAATAGTCACTAACGTTCCACAAGGCCAGAAGCAATAGGTTCCCACAGTGATTACAACTTGCCAAGTTAGGCAAACAGATGTATTTCCATGTGTTTCACTATGAAATTAAAACTCCAAGGTACCACAGTCCACAGCCATAAACAACGATTTTTATAAAATGTAAATAGTTAAACCATGATAGGACAGAAATTTGGACTTAGATCATCTCCAACTCCAAGGTAGTCCTCCAACATTTTCATCTTACATACTTGAGAGGATGAAAGGTTCCCCACAACCCCCCTCCCCTGGACAAGAAAATTTAGGACATTACAAACTAAATAATTTATGTCTTGCTTTCATGTAATATATTCATGACTCAGCAAGAAGAATACAATTGGCATCAAAATTAAAGTTACCCTAAATCAACTTGATCTAAGGCAATAAATTTATTATTTTCCATCTGGAAATTTAAATAAAAAGGCCAAGTAGAGATTTTAGTTTCCATGAACATGTAAGAAACAATTTGAATGGAGAAGCAGACTAAATTTGAGAAAATTTAGTCTGCTTCTCCATTAATATATGAGGCCGGATCAAACAAACAACACAAACATAGAACAGCTTAGTAATGAGAACAAAATAAAAAACTATATGATCAACTTGCAACTTATTTAAGCTCATTCTAATGCCATCAGCGAAGAGAACTAGTACCTTCTTTAACATTATGCTTAACTTCACTAGATTATGTCAAATGAATGAATCTCTAATGCATTTATTTATGGACAATAACAAAGAGACTGGTGAAAAAAAAAAAAAAGATGGCCTGATAGGATCCTAAGTTATAGCATTCTAGATTGCAAGCATGTTAACTGATGAATGAGAAACAGCTTGAACTGTAGCTAGTTACCAGTCAAATTGAAATGATGATAAATAGAACAATAACATGACCAAAGAAAGCAATATAGAATTAAGCCCATGTTTGGGAGTGCCTATTTGATAAATAAGCTCAAAATTTGAGCTTCTTGAATAAGTGTTTATTTCCTGAGCGCAAATAAGAGCTTATTGGTGTAGTCCAGGCCTAAAATAAGTACTTACTTGAATAAGCACTCCCAAACTTAGCCTAAGAAAGGCAATGGTACAACTTACGATGTTAGAAAGGGGCTTATTAAAGAATTTGTTAAAAACAATCTATTCAATATCTTTTGGGACAAAAATGGATTAGTGAAGGATAACCATGCAATCTCTAATGGCAGAGCTGTTAGGAGGCCTCTTTTCAGAAGGAATTTGAATGACTGGGAAGTGGGAACTCCCAACGATAACTGAGAGCATTTCCAGGTGCTTAATGAGGTGTAAATCAATGCAGATAATGAGGGTAGGGGATTTTGAAAGTGGGAAGAGTCAGGTGTTTTCCTCCAAGCCCTACAATCAGATGCTGGGTCATTGTTGGATCAATTCCCTGCCGCAGTTTGTTTTTCTGTTGCTCAATATAGGTGTCTTTCCTTTTATGGACAGCTGCTCTTAATAGGTGTTTGACTAAGGAAAAATTAGGAGGGGAGTTGGGTTTGCTGGGTAACAATTGCATCTTTTGCAATGAGACACTGCCAATCATTTATTCATCCATTGCAAGGCATCAGAGTCCCAGTGGGTTTAAGAGAAAGGAATTTTTGGGGTGACAGGATGTAATCCAGAAACGGTCATTGATTACCTCATGAATTGGAAGACTGCTCTCCATGCTGTGCCATGGGCAGTCTGGAATGACAGGAACCTAAGAATTTTTGAAAATAAAAAGTAAATCAAAGATGGGCTGAAATCTATTCTGAATGGCAGGATGTTGTCTTGGGATGGGGTGTATAGATGACAATTCTTTCCCATCCCTACCAGGTACTCCCTGACCCCCTTGTCTTGGCGGGTACATGGGCAGGGATGGGGATGAGGAGTGAATTCCCCTCTATGCCCCAACCCCGATTATATATATTGAATATTAAATATATACATATATAATATTATTTATATTATATATCAAAATATATTTAAAATATTAATATATTTATAAAATCCCTTATTTTAAGTAAATATATTTTCTAAAAAAACTTCTAATTTAAAAATTTCAGGGATTCAGGTCCCCGATGGGGAACCCGTCTCCATCAGGGATTGGGGGTGGAGAGTGAATTTTATCCCTGGTAGGGATTGGGGTCAGGGAAAGGTATTTGTTTCAAAGTCAGGGTCGAGGATGGAGAGTATGGTCCCCACCCCATTCCTATTCCTATGTATAGTCCATTCAAAAGTAAACCATACAATTCCTCTTCCTCCTCATCCCCCCCACCCTCTCCCCTTAAGGAGGCTTACACCTCTTGCATTCTCAACTACACCTCACACTTCCAAGTAGTGGAACACCTCATGTCACACCTCCGCATTTTAAAACATTAGTGGACATATTTGCCCATTTTCAATGGATGGAAAAATTAGAGAGTGGAGAATAGTAGCAAGCTCTTCCACCAAGAGGGTAATGCATCAAAGCAATGGCAACCACCGTGGAGTAATCATTTAAAATTTAATTTTGATGGCGAAATTTTGGGTAATTCAGGACCACAAGGGGTAGTAGATGTATTTAGAGATGGTATGGATTGGCGGTAACTCTACTTTCAAGCCCAATTGAAATTAGGAACTGAACAAGAACAGAACTGCTTGGCCCAGCCCAACCAGGAAATTTCTGAGCTTGGGCCAAGGTTTTTTTTTTCAGGCCTGGGCCTGCATCAAGCCTAGAATTTTTAGAGCCAGGCCTAGGTCCAACACTACAAGCCTAGCCAGGCCCCACCTGGGCCACAATATATTATTTATATATCAGTGTTTTAAAAGGTGTGGGAGGTGCACAGAAAAACATGGAGACTTGTGGGTGGGATGTTGGAGCGCCTACCAAGGCAATTTGAGCATCCCATCGGAAGGCTATCCATGCCATTCTTCTGAGTTTCCTTTCTTGTATCAAGTACGATGTTTGTTATGGTAATCATGGAAAATTTTGGGAACATATTTGGATAGGACAGTCGCTTTTGAAAGACCAATTTCCATCCTTGTATGCTTTATCTTCCTTAAGGGGAATTTGTTTCAAAATTCACTGCACCTTCGGACTCACATTCTGGGTTCGATTGGGACTTGAGTTTCCGTCGAGGTACAAGGGACTTTGAAGTTCCGAATATACTTAGACTCCTTCAAATTCTTGATGGGGTGTTCTTGAATCCCCTTGGACTCCATCCTCTAGCTCTTCTCTTGTGCATTCTACTTTAAGGTCCTCTCGCAACCATCAATAACTGCACATCCTTTCCTTGTGAAAGAGATCTGGTGTGGACCAATCCCTCCAAGAGTTGGTGTTTTCAATTGGGAGGATTTCCATGAGAAAATTAACACTTGTAACCTATGGAAAAGGAGACCTAATCTTTGTCTTTTCTCCCCTTTTGTGTTTAGTTTGCAAAACTAATGGTGAGACAAGATATCACTTGTTAATCGCCTATCCTTTTGTTTCTCTAATTGGAATTGGTTTCTTTTTCTATTTAGTTGCAAGTGGTAAAATCTTTCTAGCATGTCAAATTTCTTGCAGCTTCTATTTTTTGGTGGCCAAAGATGAGGTGAAGGATCTTGTGGAAATGTACTAGAGCTGCAATATTATGGATAGTTTAGGAGGAAAGGAACACTTGAATTTTCAAAGAAAAAGAAAGATCTGTAGAAGCAATAATAGTGTATAACTATCAGAGTGGCTCATTGGACCAAGTCCTTGGAGTGCTTCTTAGCTATTTCAGTAGATGGCATTATGAGAAAATGGAGAGAGGTGACAGGAATTTCTACAAAAAAAAAGGAATCTGACTTGAAAAATATGGACTCCCCCAACCAAAGGCTTCATCAAGTTCAACTTCAATGGCAACAGTAGGGGAAATCCAAGACCTTCAGGGATCGAAGGTATTTTTAGGGATGAGAGAGGGATTATAGTGGCACTATTTTTGACACCTTTTGGAGTAGGAGATTCTTTAAGAGCGGAGGTCATGGCTATTAAGAGCGGAGGTCACAACTAAATTGGTGATGGAGTGGTTGCAAAGTGGCGAGGCAACTCTATGGCAGTATAGAAATAAGCTATAAAAGCTCTTATGGCAGACTAGAAAGATGGCAGTAAGACTTCAATGGGTTCAAAGGACAGCTAATACCATGGCTAATGAACTAGCCAAGCAAGGGGTGGGGGAGGGAGCAAATCTTTTGGGCACAATTGTAAGGAAAGTTGTATGGGGAGATAAATGCTCAGCTATTGATCAGAAAAAGATAAAAAAAAAAAAAAACATGGAGACTTGTGAGCCATACGCCTCTTCTAAGGAATGTATATAGGCATACACATTGGCCCTCACATGAGGCATGCACTTTTTTAATGCTTTATACTTGAAATGTACGCCTTGCATGCCTCTTTAAAATAAATTCTTTTTAAATTTTTTAAACTATTGTATTATTTCTAACATGTAATTGGCACGGACATGGCAATATCGTGGTCCCTACTGTATTCTATCATAAATTTAATTTGCAAAGGAGAAAATGACCCTCTTTTCAATTCATTTTCCACAAGAAGATGAAACCCAAGCAAGGGTTCAAATTGCTCAACACAGCAAGACTGCAACTGCCTCCAACTTCAAGCTTCAACTTGCTACTCCCTTCGTTGAGCTACTATTACAGGTAAGTACATTTATTTATTTTCTTCTTCTTTCCCCATTCTTCTTCACTGACTCTCTTCTATTTCAGAAGATTGAACATTATTGTATTGTGCTGTTTGTGAAGTTCAACAACACCAAACCGGCAGCTGCAGGTATCTGCGTTGGCTGCATAATACTAACTACTAAGTACTAGATTCTTTTTGCTCAGTTTCTAACAAAAAAAAATGTATATTAGTAACTCATTATCAATTTTATT